TAATCCACTAATATAATTACTGCTCAGTTAATATGCTTACACAGCAGTTTTTTTTCTTTAAAAATATAATATTTTAAATTAAAGTGCACTTTCAGTTACTGGGTTGAAAGCTTTCATATGTTCTTTAATCCTCAGGTGTTTTGAAAAGACACAATCCCTAAACCAATTAAACAAAGTAATACCTTGTGAAACGCAAGACAAAATTTAAGCTGTAATGCCTGTGTGGTATATGACTTCATGGTCAGTCTCAGACATGTTAAAACTTAAAGATGTGATTTACTTATATGTGTAATTATGTGTAGAGCACACCTCTACAGCTTAGTTTAGCTTTATCCATACTCTATGGTCGTAATGGGATGACTCTTGCAACTCAAATAAATTAATTGAGATGTATTTGCATGCTTACCTCTCCAAAGCCTCCTTTTCCTAGAGTTCTGAACTCATAGAAGTATTTGTCATTGACGGGCTGTTTCTCGTACTCCTTCCACTGGAGGAATTTGTCAAAGAACGGGCTGGCCTGATAATCTGTGAAGGGTTTTCCTTTCAGAAATTCTCTTACACCGTCCTGGACCTTGCCTTTCATCACCTCCTCGAAATTGGCATTGGTGACAGATTTGCATTTGTCAGCAGCCTCTCCAGTAAGAAATGTCAGAAAGCTCTTGGAGTCAGCCTTACAATACTTGGTCATGATGTTTTGGAGTGCCTTGTCTTTTGTTGCTCCTTCAGCCAGATCCCAGTCATACAACTCATCCAAGAACTCTGCGGCAAGCTTAAACTCATTGTTACTTGCAAGGAACTCGCGGAAAAACTTTTTGCCAATAGGCTGCCTTTCACAAAGCAATGTAAAGTCCTTTTCAATGGTAGCTCGTACTGACGTGCACGCCTCAGGTTTGGGGAGAGACAAGCTGCGACGCCGCTTTTTCATCTCCTTGTCATCGCCACCCTGAGCTTTTAGGTAGGCCGTGTTGGCCACCAGGTTATCCAGTCCCCCCATGTCACACATCTTGACAGCTGTATGTTGTCTGTCCCCTCTGAGAAACTGGGTTCTTCAGTGGGTGCCGATGGATACCCTGACACTTTCAGAATGTGTGTCTGTGTGATGGCGCAATTTGCTCAAAAGCCACCGTGCAAATGAGCTTCCTTACCCAGTCTACCTGCAAACCTAAGACACACTGACACACCCAGTAATTACTCATTTAGAATTAAATACCAGGGAGGGATTTTGGCTTAAGGATCTTTGTGTGGTCTATTCAAGGATGCTGAGCACGGAAAGGGAATCGTAAGCGGGCTCTGTGGTAAGAGGCTTTGTAGCCCTATATATTTATTCATGGTGTTCAGTAGTCTTTGAGTAGTTCAGTGAGTTCTGTTGACTATGCATTTAATGTTGAGGTAGTAAAAGATCAGAAATAAGCATAAAGTACTCTGGGAAGAGTGTGTCACGATCAAGCAATGTAGTTCATCAGCATCCTACTTTTTTCTCTTTCCCCTCATCCAGACTCAACAGAGCAGATACATTAGAGAGCTTGCTGCTAATCTGTCTGCTTCTTTTTTTGCCCTCACACTTTCATTCTCATGATTCACCTCATTCATCACTGATCAGCACGTCACAATGACACCTACTGAGGACATTCAAGAGAACGCTTACCACAAGACTCTATTTTCTTAGACAACAGCCAAATGTTTACTTAGTTCATGTTTAGGGTGTTATCATTTATCCACAATACGATTGTATAGCTCACTGATCTGAGGAGCTGTTGAACAGACATGTGGAGCAGACCATCATAAATTAATCTGTTGCATGTGAAGGCTAGAGTTTTGAATCTTGGAAATTATAGCATGTACATTATTTGCTGTATATAATGTAAAATGCAAATTACTTTTTGTATGAGTAAAAGTCAACAGAGAGAAAAACATACATCAGCAGTGGTCCCATCTTTGGAAGTGTACACGTGTCAAAGAAACATACAGGATTGGATTAGTGTGGCTCCAGTAGCTCGGTAGTGATCACTTTATAAAAGCCTGACAAATACGACCTTAATCGTGTGAGCGACTTGGCTACTGCCTAACAGAGAGACAACAAAGGAAAGGCCAAATATGTATATTAGCCAACCACTGATATTTTTCTAATTGCGATAAATTTGCTATATTAGGGTACATTCCAGTGCACACACATAGATATGTATATACAACACAGATGAATATATGATTTATACCATAAAATAATATGCATATGTTATAAATGGTATAATAAATGTATTAATTCAACATTTTAATTTAATTGTTGCAACTTTTTCTTGAAATTAAAGAAAAGTTTTGTATTTTCCTTTTGTTACTGTTGGCAGGAGTCCTACCAGCCAGCTATGATAATGCAGGCTAATTCAGTACAATAAACCTTGGATAATATTAGCTAATCCTTTCTCAAATGGCCTCAAGCTCTCAGTGCCCCACAGAAGATCAAGAGCTTTGCTTAGTGTTTGAAATCTCCAATCTTTAAACTTTTGTTTTTCAAAAAGACCACAAAGAGCAAGCAGTGTGGCAGGGCAGGGCAGGAAATCTCACAGCGAAAACAGTAGTTTGCTTAGCGAAATTTCAATTTGCTGTATTTGCCATCTAAATTTGTATGCAGTTACAATGAGGAAAGACCTTAATTAAACTTAGATCTTGTTCACTGGTAATTCACTAAACTCTAACTACTACTTTTGAAATTCTCTGGTTTACATAATTAATCTCTGAGCAGCCTGCTCCTTGAACCTTAGGATGATTAGCCTGGCCTCAGGTAGTAAAGGTTAAGATAGGCAGAGCATTCTCATCCTGTCTCCCACATGGTCCATTATGTGGTTTTTACGTGGTCTGACTCAATCCTCTTACCGCCTTTTCAAACCACTCCACAAAAAGAGGAAGTGGATAGATAATATTCCCAGAACAGCAGGTTGGAATACCGTAAAACAAAGATGCTATACAGGGGGAGGGAATTTATTTTCAGAATCAGAATACTTTATTAATCCCTAAAGAAATTATGTGGTTACATGTGGTTTTCTGGGACAGCTTACACATGAAGTATATAGAAAACCCTAAAATATTAAGACTTCATGGTCTATTGTCCTCTCTGTTCCTTCTTAGAAAGCTTCAAGACCAAAAACCAAAAGCTGAGGTGTAGATGCTTTAGATGGAGACTCTATAGGCAGCCTGATGTAGAGGTAATGGCACATGAAAGCCCCTATAAAGAGTGACCACTTCTTATAGAAGAGGGAACGGACTTTGGATGACGGTGGTGAAGTTTGCTTAAGCCTTTTGATTTCACAGAAATTTGAAAACATCAACTGTGATCCAGTCAAAATATATAGATATATATGTGTGTGACTGAAACAAATAACTACCCTATCAAAAATGCAGCATAAACTGCATCATCAGTTGTGAACAAAGACACAGATAGACAGGTGCAAAAATCACAGAGGAGGTGTCTTTCCTATTAAACGTCTGCGCCCACCATCCATATTTAGTGCATTGAATTGAAGTGTCTCTGACACAAGTCTGTGCAGTCACAAAAACAGACAGCCATGCAAACATCTGCAAAGACCCTGGCAGTCACCAGCTAACAAAGAATTTTGCCTACTCAGGCACACTCACTTCATGTGAACCAAAGGTTTGAATTTGCTGGTGAAGAGAGGAAATGAGTTCACCACCAGATTACCATCTGGCAGCGCGTCAGCTCACACGGGTGACTTTGTGATTCTGATTGTTTATCATGATTTTATCAGGAAGACTAAAGAAAGCAAAACAATCAAAGGAGCGCTCATCTGCAAACCGAGGAATTTTAAAACAAAACTGTCTGAATGACATCATGAACTCAAGACTCAATGGGAAGATTACTAAATAAGAGTTCTAACTTTTATGACCTGAAACCTTGATTGTAGCAAAATGAGTTATGGATTCCCTTCTGTAATCACGCATCCATCAGACAGTAGAGTCACTTGGAAAAACCCCATAAGATGATGAACGTGACTTCTAGAAGCTGTAAGTCAGAGTCAAAAGGACTCAGAGACTTGGAAAATCACCAGCAGAGACAAGAGAACAGACACAGTAGTGTCCCTTTAAGAAGACACATTGCAGGTCAGAAGCACAGGTGGTTGATACTTCCTTCTGGCTAATCCCTGCCCACAGTTTCCTGCCCAAAAACAATTCAAGTTTTAGTTACAAATACAGGCATCCATCTGCACAGATGTATTTGGGAAAGTTGCTAAATTATTGCCCTCTTGCTTTTGGTTCATTTGCAACTTGACCCAAAAGCTGCAGAAACAGTCCTGTTTTGTCATGTGACTAATCTAGTCAACCTTACATGACAAGGTAGAGAAGAACAATGCCCAAAATGAACCCAGAATGGACCATTAGCTTTAGCAGCCTGTGTCCCTTTAATTAAAAAAGAAAGAAAAAAAAGGACTAGCATGATTGGACAGATACTTGAGTACCTGACAAGGATTTCATAGCTCCTCCCTTTTACAGTGTTGTAGGCCCCAACCAATAGGAGAGCAACAAGTAAACATCTCCTGGCTAGCTGGATAACACCACGTGACCTCACAGGGGCTGAAGCAACTCTTCCTTGTTAAGAATGTAACACTGACAGGATAAACATTAATATATAATGTGATGTTCACAGTAAAACTGAAGTACAACAGAATCCAGTTGATGTCAGCTGATAAAATCAGGCTCATTTATTTCCTAGATTACTGCTAACCTATGATAATTGCTAACTTAACTGCATTGTCAAAGAAATGTTTGAATCACCTGCAAAATGGTACAAAATAAGGTGTTAGTTTTTCTCAGTGACAGCATCTACCCCAGTTAAAGTTAAAACTCATATTGCTTTATTACCAGATATGAATAATTGTGTAATTACCTCATCATTATTTAACACGTCTCTCTGAGCAAAGCTGATCCTTATCCTAACAAAGCAGCAAGTTTATTCTGAGACTCAAAATTAAATGACAGTCAGACAATTGAACTGCATGTTTTAGATTAAATTTATTTCTATTTTCAACCTACAATGTTTTACATTAGCTACACACTTCCACAATGTATTTTACAGCAATTTTGGACTATGCTCAATTGCTAAGTGAGAAAAGTTATGGAACAACAAACTGCAGATGATAAAACAAGCACAAATTAGTTTACATTTTATCAATGAAAGAAAACATCTTTAGATAAACTACACACAACTAATTTTATGGACGCTGAATATGCAGAGACAGCATATTACTTTAACAGTAAACCTAAACCACATGACTAGGGGACATCTGATAAAAGGATTAACTCAGTATCTTGTCTGGATCTGTACTGTAGTCTCCTACTCCACTGCTCAGTACTCTGCTCTGAGTAAGGGTTTCAACCTGATACCTTGTGCCCTCCAAGAACTGGTCAGTCACAGAGTTGCTTGAATCAGAGCCAGACTGTGGTTCAGAACCAGGATCAGGGTCAACATCACAGCGAGAGCTGGAATCCAAGCCACTGCCAGTGCCAGTGCCAGGTTTAAGACTGCAGATGTCAAGGTCAGACTCCTCAGAACAGAATGCCTGATTTGTCTCCAAGCTTTCGCCAGGAGATTCTTCTTCTTTCGTGTCTGAGTCAGGAGTCTGCCCCTTGGTCTTGAGCCTCCTGCGGCTGATCAACTTCTGCAACTGTAACTTGTTGGTGAAGAAAATAGTACGCCACCCCACTTCTACTGCCAGAGATGCCACCTCAGCCGAAACGGTGTTGCAATGCCGATGCACCGCCTGTTCCCAAAACTCCTCTGATCCACACAGCTGAAGACCAGGCATAACAAAATATGTTGTGTGTTGAGCATAAGAGACAGTAAAAACAATAGAGGCAGGGGTGCACATAAGTGGTCCGCAGGTGCGCATTCCCTGTCAAAATAAAAGACGTGCACCAGATAAGAAGTTGCAACGCGCGTTTAATGTTCAGACATTTGTTTAGTACTCTTAAAGATGTCGAAAAAGCAAACTCCTTTAAGCAATTACTTTGGTGTTCCTCCACCTCCAAAGAAATGTCAGAAGGAGTCCGAACCGGAAAAGAAGCGTGTATTCTCGGAAAAGTGGTTGCAGGAGGTGAGCTGGCTTCAAACAAATGATGAACGCGCAGAGATGTGGTGCAGAATGTGGCGTGAAATTCCCACTCTAGCGGACAAAAACAGTGCCTTTTACATGTACACGAACGCGCGTTGCAACTTCTTATCTAGTGCGTGTCTTTTATTTTGACAGCGAATGTGCACCTGCGGACCACTTATGTGCACCCCTGAATATAGGAATAAAATGCAACATCAGTTTAAGACCTGATGATTTATTACGGCAGAAGACAAAATGTGCAAGGGTAAACAGATGTCACATTTAATATCCAATGATGCAGTTTATTTTTGGCAGCAAGTTTATTTGCATGTTTATTAAACTCACCTTTCTGAACCTGCGTGATGTTCGTCCCAGCTGACCCACATCCTCAAGCTCCAGATAATTTATTATCCGCAGAAGTAAGGAATCAGACAAGTGCTCCAGATAATCATAATGGCCTCGGCACAAAGCTGTGGTGTACTCTAAGATTCGAAGGCCGAAAACCATGCGGACCTCACCTAGAAAGAAGCCTCTATTTGTCATCCATATACAAGCATTAAGGTTGTTTTCACATACAGTAAATACAGTGTATGATATATATTTGCTTATGTTGGTAAACAGGCTATAGACAACAGGATTTACAAAAGGGTTACATATAAAACAGAGAAATTACCTGTTTTTATAACTACTCTGCGTTCCACATTATAATCAATCCAGTTCTTTTGGGACACTCACACAAATATCTTTTTAGAACTGTTCTGTTATTTGTTATGAGCAATTTCTTCTGCCCTCTTGAAAAAAACAAGACTTTTTTTCTTTTTTTTTCTTTTGGCAGACAATCGCTTTTGTGGCACAACACCATCATCCTGGTGTTGCTGACTGACTGAGCCATTGTTAACAAATTTGCTTGGCCTGTGCTGTTCCTGCAATGATAATTCAAACACGCAAAAAATCTCTAGTAACCCTAACTACAAAAACTCCCTGTAGGAAAAGCACCATTACCATCTGTTGTGTTTAAGTTCTAACCTGTCAGTATGGCAACAACTTTTTTTACACCTGTGTGTGTGTCTTTTTTTCCCCACTGTTAAAAGTCTTTAATGAACATGACCAAGTTCAGTCATAAGATGCATATTTTCCATTGTGTTTACCTTTCTTTACTTAAGGAAAAAGCTAATAGGTTAGCTATATTTATGTGATGTACTTTATGATTTATGTGATCAGGCCTTACTGTGCAGCCAAGTGTCATCCAAGAAGTCCTCATGGGATTGCTTCAGCTCCCCTGGCTTGGAGTACCTGTCTACAATTCTTGGAGATATCTTCCACCATCTCCATATCACCTGGGAATAGCAGGTCAAAGTATGACTTATGATCATGATATTTACAACCACCATTTTTCCATTTTTATAGACATACAACTCTACGGTATTTACATATAATAAGTAAAACAATTTGAGTAAAACAATTCAGAAACACATACTGAACAGTTAGGTGAGGGGCCCATGGGCCAGTTCTGCTGTAAAGAGGGATAATCCTTTTTCTATTGTACTGTATACTATTATGTCCCGAGTAGAAAAGCAAAGCAATGCAGTAAAAACAACACCTATTCAGACATCTGTACATTTTAATGCAGGAGTGTCATGTTTTACATTGTGAGCCACATACAGTGCACTTTGATTTTGATCTTGATCAGCCGGACCAGTGAAACTCCCCTTTCAGTCATTGTAAATAAATTTAACTTCATATTTAATCCCTGGGATACGTTAATACAAGAATACGTGCAATTTCAACAGTACATCTCGGTTAACACAAGATTTTTTCAGAAATTAATTAAATAACAAAAAAAAAACAAAAAAACGGGAACATTGCTGTTGGACTAGAAGGGCTTTATCAGGAGAAATAGAAAAAGTTGTAAACGTATGTAAATTAAGTTAAAAGTCCAACATGTATGTGTCCCTTCACTTATTCCAAAGCTGTCCAGTGGGCCTAATTTGAGTTTTCGTCTTGGCCGATTCTGGTCTCCGGTCCTTATGTTTGACATCCCTGTTTTACCTTGTAGGTTGTAACTTGCTGTTAATAAGTAGCAAACAGGTGAGGATGCTAAACCGATAGAGTTGCTAATGTTAATTTAAGTTTATTGGCTACAGCTAAGTTAGCTAACCGTCGTTATAACCTTAACTGAACGTTTATTCTTGCCACGAAGTCGCTACATGGGCGCAAACGGCTTCTTAGAAAATAGAAAATTAAGCAAAATTTTAATGAGCATTAGCCCTTATCAAAGCTGACATTACTTACATCTGACTTAGTGACAGAAAAATGATAAAAGCTCTGAATGGGTGCAGGTCCCCGTCCAGAGACTTCAAACAAGGGGTCTGTTAGAAGGGACGCCATGTCAGTTTATATGTTGGCATGGCAACGGAACTTTGCCAAACGGTCTAAGCAACCGAGAGCAAAAAAGCGTTTCGCTTCATGTTAAACAAAATTTAAATGACTTAAAGAAACCTTAGTATAAACTTAGCTGCTTAAACATTTTTGCTCAAAAAAACTAAAACTAAAAACTGGACTTTATTACACTCTACAAACAAGAAATTAGTAAATCATCAAAGGTTTCAGAGACTTATTAAAACAGTCCTACATGTTTTAGTATCAAATAAATAAGACACAATTTCTAGTTAAAAATCTTTTTAATTTATTTATACATATATTTATATATGTACACATATACTTACCTAGTCTTGTAAAAACAAGAAACACATTGTCAAATTCATTGTTAGTCATAAGCAGTACAACTGAGACCCTCCAGAGTCGCAGTAATGATCCAGTAATGTAGTAGTCCCTGATTTAATGTTCTTTTCTTTTGCCTCATTCCAAAGCAAACTTGGTCACTTATATCCTTATTAATCTCCTTATTCTGTCCTTCTCTCCAAAAGCTTTTCAAAAAACAAGGCAAAGAAGAGGACAGATACTGAGGGAGTGCGCTGAATAGCTTACAGGGTTGTTTTTTTTTACTTTATATATTGTATATGTTTGCCTAGGCAGGCTCTGGTAAACCTGTCAATAGGACAAGTCATCTATGTTCATGTGAACAACTCTGTTTTGTTTTTTGAGGTAACCATTCTGGATCACACCCACACGCCAAAGCTTTCATTAACAGTCTTTCTTTTTCTCTTTACAATATTCCTAAAATATAATATCTGAAGCATCTCCTCTGACATATTCCACCTGCGGTAGTGAGGTTGCGAGAGTATACTAAATATTTTATCAATTAGGTAAAGTAACAGAAACAAGAAGTACTTAATTAAAGGCCTTTTGTGCTCTAGCAGACATGCCTGTCTTTTTATCCTTTCAGCTGTAAACATCTTGAGTTGTCTGCCGGCCCAATTAACTAAAGACTTGCACTTAGTTTCAAACTAAAATTTAGGCCATACTTTTGACTAATAGTGTAGGATCACTGCTGTGCCCCATTAACCTGTGTGAGATGTTACTTTAAATTAAAAAGACGCTGCTGCTCTGGGTATACAGGCAACATTTGTTTCTTACGGACTGCACTCTGGATCTGCATGTTAAAAGGAAACACCTTAGTGCCAGTATAGTAGCAGTAAGCTAGAATAAAGAGATATCCCTTTTGAAAAAGAAGCACCTGCATCAAGTACAGATCATGGACTTAAATGGAACCCTGTTAATAGTCTTAAAATGTATACCCTTACCTTACCCTACATAGATAGTGTGTAGTGGGGTTTTTTTTTGTTTTTTTCCACAAGGTGTCTGTATACTCACCTTTGTTAATTCAGTCCTTGTTATACATATACATGTACTTAATTGTGATTACAAATGGTGATATGCACAGAGCGTACAGTTATAAACAAAAAAATAAAATCATATAATGTATATAATCAAACAGTACATTTGCCCTCATAACAGTCCCTTAGTCTTCAATAAAGTCCTTTGCAGTCCTTCATAGTGTTGTAAACTTTTTTTATAAAGAAAAAAAAATGTAAGTCTTTTTTAGAAATGTACTGCCACTTGTGACTGAACGGGTGCCTTGAATATGTGCTGCATGCTGCCCTCTGGTGGAGAGGACCAGGAGCTGTGCTACAGGAAAGGGTTGGTGGATGAACCCCCTGAAGGGAATGGCCCGGCTGGTGCTCCTGCCTGAAATATGAGAGAGTCCAAAAACATTGCTGATTTGAGAAAATTGAGTCTTTCAGAAAAACCAATCAGGCCATTTTTAATTAGTGTGACAGCTTTTTGAGAACGCAATACATGCTCACCACAAATGGGTTATTGGACATGCCAGGGACAGCTATGGGCTGCCCAAATGGTGTGATCGAGGGCTTGTTCTGACCGTAGACTGGGTATCCAGGGCCTGGGGGAATACAAAAGGTAAAGGGGTTTAAATGTGTTTGGGACTGCTCTGTCCAGCACTCTGCAGAGCCAGTATTTTCCTTTTATTTTATTACAACAGTTATATCATCATGCCATAAAGATAAGAACATAAAGACAAAAAGACAACCACTTTACAATGACTTAATGACAAGAGTCAAACCTTTAAAAATTCTACGGGAGTCTAAAAAAATTAAATTGCAAAGAAAGCCGCGGCCTGGCATGCTGGATTGCATTCAGGTGTAAACAGAGCCTTATGACTTTTATTTATTGTCATCATTCTGGACTACAGCAGACCTTAAAGCTTTGTACACTAAATGCAATCTTTTATCACTGTGCAGTAGCTGCCACTGCTAGGCTGCACTTTAATTTGAGGCAGCAAGGCTTCAACTTAATTCTTAATGCAGAGAGCTGTTATGTAAATAAGAACAAAAAAAGAAAAGCATGCAAAAAAACCCCTTTAAATTAATGGCCGCCACTGCACAGACACTTAGGGTAAGAGGACGGAGGGATGTGGAAGACCACTAACCATTAGACTGAGGGTGATAGGCCCCTGGCTGAGAGTAAGGGATGGGGGCCTGACCAGGGAATTGCTGCTGGAAGTTTCCGCTGAAACTGGTGGGGAGGCAGTAGGAAGACGCATTCCCAAAGCCTGCAGGCATGCTCATAGAGCCAGTACCAAACGAGGCTACGAGACACACACAGCATGTGTGCACGGTCAGTGTACACGCATACCCACAACACACACACACACAAGGAGTAAATTCTAGATACTTTGGCAAATCACAAAGCTAATAGGCAATGTAACTGAGTTACATCAAAGTAACACAAATGTCTAAGTAAAACAGAAACATTTATAGTGAAGTACGTTAAACTCTAAGTGCGTACACACCTGCAGCTGGAGCTCTGCCATTGGTCTGGAAAGGGTTGGTGGCCATTTCTGGAGGAATGGCTCCAGCAACGAAAGGATTTGTGGATGGGACGGCTAGATGGAAAACAGCCATAAAATGAGTGTTTAAGCTAAATGAACAAGAGGTAAATGTTTTTTATTTCTGTATGCATCATTGTAGTAGTGAGCACCATGAGCACCTCCAAAGCCAGGTTGCATACTGGGTAACACAGGCGGGTTTTGAGCTGGCGATGAACCCAGTGCTGGTCCAAATATGTTCCTGTAAAAAACATGATGCCACTGAATGTTTAATAAAGGATACGAAAGGCATTACCAGCCTTTTTAACATACACTTGTGCATCCGCATCAAGTGTTCATCACACTGATAAATACACTTATCAAATTAATGTATACTCTTCTAATACTTTTCAGAGTGTTTTCAGCTTAGCAGAGAGGCCACATGAACAAATTCACTGTTCCTGGTAAATCTCACTGTGTGTGTGTGTGTGTGTGTGTGTGTGTGTGTGTGTGTGTGTGTGTGTGTGTGTGTGTGTGTGTGTGTGTCACTTTCTCACCCTTGCACATTGCTGCTTGTGGAGGCAGAGAAGCTGAGCTCGTTGTCTAACTCAGCCAGAGCAGCATAGCGGTCCTCTCTTTGGCTCCCTGTCTGACACTGGGCAGTGGCAGCACTAGACACTGACGGAATTGGCACTCCTCCCCCTTTCAACAAATATTAACATCAATAAAAGAACTAATCAAACATCAAGTGCCACATGCATAAACACACACACCCAAATAATTAAAAGGATCAAGAGCAATTCTCTCGCTAGGAACCTCCCTTCGCTGTCCTTAAGGGATGTCTTTTTCAAATGAGCACAAATTAAAAAGACGTGCATGCGTATTCACAACACTTGTCAAATGGCCTTACGTGGACAATAGGGCTGTGCGATATGACGAAATATATCGGATGACGAAACGACACTATCGTTTGTTTTGTGGTGTTGCAAAATACACGGTTTAGAGCAATATTTGTGAAGATGAGGTAGAACCAGGTAGCTCCAAACAGAAGGACCAGTCAAAAAAAATCGAGGATCTTATTCCTAAACGAGGGGCTACCTTGGTTTGGTTATGAAAAGTCTGACACTGACCAGAAAACCGTACTATGCAAATTATGCCGCAAACTGGTCCCCACCACAGACTCAAACACGACAAATGTCTTCTACCACCTAGGGATGGCCGATATGACCCAAAATTCATATCTCAATATTTTTTAGCTGGATGGCGATATACGATATATATCTCGATATATTTTTTTAAGCCATAAGGTAAGAACAGAAAGAGAGTTCTTAGTCAAAGCTGTGACTGACAGCCTGGAGTTTGAAATCCACTTCGTAACCGTGTCTCTTAACAGGTGCCATTTATGGTCCTTATACGCACACAATATGGTAATATTACGTTGAAGCACAGTAGATGTTACTCTCTAAGGCTCCAGACTATGGTAGCAGCAATGCTCAGACAATCCATCAAGCGGTGCAGTTCCGTAGCTTACCAAAGTCAAACTAAAACATTTTTGACAGATTGCTGAGCGCCGTGTTCAACATAAAATCGGTTCGCGGTCAGTACGCACAACCAGAATTCATACATAAGGCGCACTGTTGATTTTTGAGAAAATGAAAGGATTTTAGGCCGTCATGTCGTTAGCACGGTTAGCTCGTTAACACGTTAACACATTGACGCCGTCCAGCCCCACGCACGGGGCGATCCGCGGTAACTCGTTAACGGAGATTTGCCGTGTCCATCTTGTCGTTGCCTGCAGGTGAAGCGATGGGGGAGGGGGAGTTGTGTTCAGTGAAGGAGAGGCGAGGCCCAATAACGTTGCATAGAGACAAAAGTGGACGAAAGCGAGGCAAACTTGCGGCTCCACAAGTATAATTATAACGTAACATATATATACTATATCGATATAAACGATATTGTCACATCTTATATCTCGTATGAAAATATATCGATATTTTTTAAAAACTCGATATATCGCCCAGTCCTACTACCACCTATGCAAGAATCACATGAAAGAGTATGGACAGAGTTTACGGATGAGAAGCAAAAAAAAGAGCTGTCATGTGCTCAAAATAAACCTTAGATTCAAACGTTAGAACAGCCTTTTCCCCACAGCACACTGTGCGATATGACCAAAATCTCATATCCCGATATAAAACATCTATGTCCGATAACGATATAAATCACTAAAATTTAACATTTTCTGTAAATTCTGTGAATCTCGGGTAGCTGAAGTCTTTCTAGCTGGGCGTCGTGTATCTGGAGTCGAGTGTTTTACCGATGCATGAAACTACACATTTTCAGACATAGGTTGTAACGGCCGCCGTTTTCTTTGCGGCGTGCTGCAGGTTAAAGCCTGTTCTAACGTTTGAGTCTAAGGTTTATTTTTTAGCACCTGACGGCTCTTTTTTGCTTCTCATCGGTAAATGTGCGTCCGTTACAACTTAAATCTAAAAATATATAGTTTCATGCATCAGTCAAAACACTCGACTCCAGGTACGCCACGCTCAGCTGAAAACACTTCACACAAGTCAAGTTGCCCGAGATTCAGAGAATTTACAGAAAAAGCACTATTTTGTGATATATATCATTATCGGGATGAGAAATGTCTCATATTGGGATATGAGACTTTGGTCCTAGTGGACAATAAGGGACATCGTTTTAAGTCTGGGGGGAAAACGGGCTATATTCTTGTCTAATAACATGTCATCTTGAATAAAAACTGAGGTTGTTTCTGGGACACCTCGCATTATACCAACCTGAACACTAAGATGTTAGAAGCTCGTCAACAACAGTTCTGTCTCTTCTGTGAGGTTAAACAACACAAGCTCTCCACAAACTGTTTAGTTTTTTCTGCCCCTCAGCTGTGATGTTGCCAGTTTTTCTGGCTGGAACGCTCACATGGAGCAGACAGACGGTATTTTACATACCCGCCCGTCTGTTTACATTCTCTGAATCCTGCCAGCCTGCAGCCTGGTTCCCGATGATATCACACACTTGGTGAAGTGTGTCCAGCAAGCACGACACGAGAAAGGGTTAAGGAAAGGTAGGATTTTATGAGTTTGTAACTCCCTAAGCTGAAACGATGGCCATGGTAGGAGAGAAAAATATTGTGCAGTCTGAGCCCAGCGTTATACTTTACACACTGGCAATGGTCTGCTAGCGTCCACACGTTGTGCACTATTGTCAGCAAAGGATGGATGCAAGCTCTGTGCAGATGTCATGTACCCTCCAGTTTAGGCTGACCGTTACACTATAGGGCACTGCCTGTGCACGCATCCTCTAAATGGCCTCCAAGCAGACCAGAAAGCAGTACAATAAATACAACTGCTCATCCGAGATAACCATAGCAACAGTAACAAAGACCAACAAAAACCTCGAGCATCCAGAGTGCATTCCTGCATACAGCAGGCTGGCCCAGAGGACACAGCAGGTGAGAGATGAATAAAGAAAAACTGTAGTAAGGGTGCATACATGTGGATAAGATGGAGGGGAAAATGGCAGGGAGGGTGGTACCTGATGAAAAGGACTTTGAGGGAGGTGATGTGCTCTGATGGGATGGAATTGCAGTGTTTCCAAATGCGTCAAAGTTGGCAAAGTTGGTATTTGAATTACCCTGAGGTGCTGCTGCCATACACAAGGGAAAATTAACAACAGACAATGAATGTGGGAATAAAAACAATGGCAGGAGAAAAATGTAAGGGACAATGACAAAACGCAGTGTTCGCATATCTGTATATACTAGTTGGATGTCAATTAAAAAAAACAACAACAACGACAATAACAGTACATGTTATGAGAATCATGAAAGACATCTTACCTGACTGGTTTGGAAAATGTGCAAAGTTGGCAAAGTTGGTAGGGGTGGCAGTTTGAGTGGGTGGAGCAGCAAAAATGTCACCCAGGTCTGAGAGCAAGTCAAATTTCTTCTCCTGAGCAGCGCTCTGAGCTTGGGAACGAGCTAGCCCCGGAGACTGGGTGGTGCAGTCAGGAAAAAATTGTAAAAAAAAAAAAAAAAAAAAAAAAAAATCACACACACAAAAAAAACAAGACTTTTCTTCAGCTGAAAATTGAATGAGAAAGGAAAAGAGTGGCCGATGGGTTGAAAGAAGCTCTGTGTGCATTCGTCTCACCTGGCGCAGAGGGGTCTTATTGAGCTGCAGGGTTTTGAGGGGTTGGACTTCTGGTGTGCTGCCAGTGCTGCTTGCTGAGGAGCCGGACACAGAAGCCTGAACATTTGCTACTACCCTTGCCTGGTCAGGAGGAACATACCTAAAAATCCAGGGAAGAGCACCAGCACGAAACAAAAGCCATGTTTAGTCCCAGCAAACACAGATTTGATAACATGATGGTCATACTGAAGAGCTATTGGAACATATCATTTTAGGTCTCAAACGAAGCATATGGTCTGATGATTTTCACATATATGGTTTCTGTTACCTTAATTTACTTAGTTATCGTGCTGGATAAATGGTAGGGTTGATGACCCTTGTGACACTAAGTTGGATAAGTGTTTGAGACAAAGACAGAAGGACAGTATTTCAAAAGAAGATAAAATTGACCCCGCGCTTTGTATATGAGTATTTGAGAGTTGTGCTTGAAATCCAAAAATTCTGCAGAAGAAGCAGCAAAATGATACAGAAAAAGAAAGCCTTAGACAATGAAGAATGTGCTGCCAAACTCAAACATATGGTTAACCAAGTCCACAGCAACAAAATGGTTTTTGGCAAAGGTAAAGCTCAGCAATCATTTTCTTTGCTGACAGTAACAAGCAAGGACTGAACAAGAACTTTGTGAATTCTTAGTAGGGCTGAACGATTATGGAAAATAATCTAATTGCGATTTTTTGCCCCAATATTGCGATTGCGATGTGATATGCGATTATTTTTTAAGGTCTTTGTCTTCTGTATTATTAAACAAAGACAAGCAATACATCATATAGTATGGCCAATACTATATTACATTAATTTTAAACTGTTCTTTCCTGGAAGACAGACCTCTGTTATGATGACATGAGGTGATGCATGAATTGATGACTGACATTTTTATTTAACTTCTTCAATCACAACAGTATATTTGAACATACACAATAGTTTATTTTTAGCTTACAAACATCTGAGCATAAAGTGCTGACAAGGAACCCTGGTGTAAACATTAAAATGAAAGTCAGTACAATGTGCAGATTGCAGAAATATACATAAACAAAATCAGTGGCTTTACCACACTCAGTTTTTCGACATCTGTGAACTACTAGACAGTCATTCAATTAAAAAATAATATTAAATAAATAAAACTAATAAATAAAAAATACACACATCTTACTGATCTCTGCAGTCAGTAACATTACACATAAAGTGCAAACATAATAGCAATTGTATAAACACACACACAAACACGCCTTTAAAATTTAAAGGCGTGAAATTGGACGGTCTAGTTCTGATTAGCGTCACCGCTGTCTCGGTGGAGTTTAATAAACTCGGCCGTCTGCTTCTTGCTATCTAAAATATAACCAGACACTGGTGTAAATTCTCGACTGTCTCATACTTCTGTTTAATACGTTTTCTGTTTGACGTTTAGTCAGCTGTGTGAAAACCAAGGAGGAACCCACCCGGGGGATTAATAAAGTTTTATTTTATCTAATCTAATAACTTTAATCTCAGCCAAACCGATTTACTCACGAACAAACAAAACACTGAAAAAAGCCCAACAATAACATTTTTAGGTTGTCTAAGTGACTTATATATTACGTTTAACCCGAGCAGCGAAACTCCGCGGTGATCTGAAAATGATGTGCCGGGAGTTGTGCCGTTCTCGGCCGCATCAGTAACCCTCGAGCTCCCGGCTAGCTGTCGAGCTGGTGGGTAGCAGACGCCTCTGAAAACGTCGAAGCACTTTTGCAAATATGGGATATCTTGATAAACCGAGCAGATATTTGATGTTTACAGAACTACTTTCTCGCCTGAAAATATGTTAAAAGTTTATTTTGTGACCCAGAAAGATTAGTATGAGTAATTTTAAAACTTAGTAGCGGCCGCCATTGCTGGAAACTGGAGTTTGGCTGGGCCGTGCTATGAATTCTGGGATATGATAGTAATTTGGACAGCCTTCGGCGCGTCGCTGTGACGTAATCGGTCTACAAATGCGGCCTCAGGAGGATGCAGTCCATGAATTTGGACATGTCCAGAGTATAATCGCAGCCTTTGCGGTTAGAAAATTGCACTTGATCATGTCGCGATATTATCGCAAATGCGATATATCGTTCAGCCCTAATTCTTAGCACTCTAAAGTATTTACTACCCAATGTTTGCACACAGTTAAAAAAAAGATATATATAAAAGTGAAATAAAGTATGCAAATATCACTGCTCAAACCTGATAAAACAAATAAAAGGTTATGTTACCATCTCTTCTTTTCATATTTTTCCTGGAGGAACTCTTTTACTTTCTGCGGTTCTCTGAAATCTGGAACGACTGATGTTCTGTCGTCATAGAGGCCCAACCAGATGTGTTTACAGACCTACAGGGGGGCACAGGAATGAAGGGAGTGGGAGGCAAGGAGAGGATAGTGGTGGGGGTGGTGGCACAGCCATGAACGAGGTGAGGGAGAGTAAAGGGAAAAGGGGGGAAGGGGTGGAGAGAAATGTGAGTATATAAAAAAGAGAAAGGAATGCCAATAACTTGAATAAAGAAGGCTACTGCTAAATTAGGACATGATTATCAAAATAATGCTCGACAGTGTAAATGACAGTGCTGAGCGCTTTGCTGTAAAGTGTGCGCGATACCTCGTTGCTGTGTTTCTGTAGGAACTCGATTTCCTGCTGTGTGAATGTGGTCATAGAGATGGACTTCACTCTGTGTGGGGGATTCAGTCCTCGCCTGTGGGTGGAGGAGGTATATGTTGTTAGCTAAAGAACAAAAGAAGCAGGATGCCAACCAGTGCTGTTCGTTTACAAAGAAAAAGCAAACAGAAACACAAACCACAGATGCCTCATTACATCTTCTTGTCAGAGTGAACGCACCCTTGAGTACTTTATAGCCATTTTCACACATGCACAACAGCAGCCCTGAGCTTTTCATATCATTAATAGATGCAGAACACACGTCCCGTGGAGCCAGACATTAAATGCCTTTTAACCCCTCAGCTCCCTGTGCAAAGTCTGTGTGATTTCTCACAGTGCTTATTTACACCAGCGTGAGAAAAGCTGCGCGAAAATGTCCAGTGAAATCACAGGGAGACAGAGTGGTCATCGTGTCTCCTGTCTCTAAGAAGAGCATTTCCAACGCATCTGAAAATGATTTTCTTAGAGACAGGAGGTACATGTAAGGACAACTTTAGAAAGCAGCTTTGTTTGGGACCTGCCAAGCACATCAGACAGACGTTTCTAAAATACAGAACAACAACAAAAAAAGTATGTTTGCACTTAGTATAGTTTTAGGTTCAAATATTAGGATTGTAATTGTAAATTCGCTGATATCCTAAACATTACTGACATAGTTTAATTACACGTGACATATATTTATTAGGGATTTCTAGCAGACGCAATAATATCAACCTATCAACAAATAATCTGTGTGTAGTCGGCACGTTCTCCCTCTCTGAAATCACTCCAGCTTCCCCCCCACAGTCAGAAGTGATGCAGGAGTTTGTTAATCAGCAATGTTAAACCGTCCATAGGTGTGAATGTGAGTGTGAATGGTTGCTTCTCTCTCTGTATTAGCTCTGTTGCAGACTGGTGACTTGTCTAGGTTGCACCACACCTTTCGCCCCATGACAGCTGGAACTGGCTCCAGCCCACCCTGCCAGCCTGATTTGTATAAAGGAAAGAATATGGATGGATGGATGAAAAATTAACTGATGGATGGATAATCTGTAAACCCAAACTTACTTTTGGTTTAATGTTTTGAAACAAGAAAGTCCCTGTCCATATTTACCATGGACACATGGAAAAAAAAAAGTTCAAACAAATCTCGATCAGCTGATCTGAATCAAGTGCAAAAATCAGTGCAAAATAACTGTGTAGTAACACTAGTGAGTATTCAAGGATTGCGACACATAAATCCAAATGTAAGTTTGTACAAACTGGTTTGTGAACTTTAGCATAAAGAGTAAACATGACCAAAAAAATGTTGTGATTTATTGATTGATTGTGTAGGACAAAGATCACACATTTAAATGCTAAGAGAGAATATATGCACACACACACACACACAATATCAACATAAAAGGAGTAAAACAAGGCTACATTAAAAAAAATACATCCAAATCTGCCTCAAGTAGAACGTCCTCAAACCCAAACTATTGCTGAAGAAAAACAAAATTCATTTAAAACAAACTGAATTCACGTCAACAAAGAGACACTGTCATTGGAAACCAGGATTGATGTAAAAATTGATGTAAACTGCAACTTGACAGACCTTCAACACTTTGTCTAAACATGGGGAAAAGTACAGTAGTTAGTATTTGGTCTGCACATACCAAATCATTGTATAGACCTGTCCACATAGAACAAAGCTCATTTTGAGAAACTGATTATTCATCTAATTATTTCCAGTTGCCAGAAAAAAAAATGTGAATACCAAGATTTCTTACAGCGACTCCTCATAAATTGTGTTCTTCTGAGTCACAATCATCTACACTCACAATCTGACTAAACTATTAACTCACGAACACATATTTACTCAACACAATGATTCATCACTTGAAGTGCAGACTGTACAAAAAAATTACATGACAAACTCTATAACGAGCAGCAACAACTTCCAACGAACATTTCCTGTAGCTGCTTAACCCTAACCCTAACACAACTACCATATGGCAAAAGGTGGGAGTACACCCTATACAAGTCCCCAGTCTTTTGATATCACTTTTTAGTTGGTGTGCTAATACTTTAACATATTTAAAATCCCATTCGCATTTTGTTTGTTTGTTTGCTTGTTTTTTCCATTTTGGGATGCATATGATGTCAGAGAAACCAGATATACGGTAATATGGTCAGGACAATGTGTGAGTATAGAAGCCCCACCCACCTGCTGTCCAAACCTTCTGTTTGTGAGGAGCTGCCAATTAAAAGAAAATTAGCTTTAAACTTGTTTTAGACAGACTTGTTATAAACTGAAGCCTGGCATAAGACAGACAAGCTTTATGCTGAACTGTCAATCATGCAGAGCTACTCTAATAGAATTTAATAATTGAATACAGGGCTAAAAACTATCATGTCCAATTTAAAGGGTAAGCAGTGGCTGGCAACACCTTGTCTTAAGTAATTACCATGCTGTATACTGATAGCAGGATACGCAGAAATGTTTCCTCAGTATCAGCAACTTAATGGGTGTGGGGGGACAGCATATTGCGCTGATCCGGTTTATTGCCTGAATTGCGATTTCACAATGATTTGACATTATGAGGAAGATGTGGTTCAGTCGCAGTTGCAGGCGACCCACTGGCCCAGCTGCTCTTCAGTTACTTTCCAACTTCAGAGACTCACCCTGCTTCTGCTTATCTGGATGTGTGTGTGTTCTTGCGACAAGCCTTCTCAGAGGTCCAGCTAAAGTTCAACTAGAGGAGGTTCCCCCCCATGACGTGCCGTTTTTGAACCCGGTGGTCAAATATTTGACTGTCAGCCAAAGTTACGAACCCAGCGTTAGGCGTGCTACCCTAGACACACACACACACACACACACAATCAAGCCACTGACACAGCCCCCTCACTCACCCTGTGTGTTTTGTAATAGCACATGTTATCACACTAAAGCAGCGATGTAAACAATCTAATCTGCTAACACCGCCCATCCCAGCCCGACAGCTCCGGGCTGAACCGAAGGTAACGTCTGCGTTACCTGTCCTCACTTTAACACTAGCTAACTAGCTAACGGTACCGCCAAGTCAGCGCCGGTGTCCCCACCGCCGTCCAACCGTGGGACACTAAAGAATAAATACAACACTTTGGCCCAAAAGGACACTCACAAGATCCCGGAGCAGGTGGTACAGACGAAGGAGCCCACTGTCATGTTGACATAGGTCGGGCCGCGTTGGTCGCAGTCGAAGCATTTCCTATTCGCGGGCAGGCTAGTCATTTCCCGGAGCATCTTCAGATGAGTCTCCTCCTGCTTACGCTTCGCACTCGTCGCCATGACCGAAAAACTACAACGGCTTGTTTTACCTAGGGATGGGAGGAGTTTGGTCAAGGGACGCGGGGCAGGACGGGTGTCTTCAGGACAAACTTGCCGCGTACTACGGCGGTAACTGTGGTCTGAGAGACACCTTGCTGTGAGAGGTCTACGGACCGACTGGCACACTTCTTCCCCTACACGCGAAAAAAGTGAGCCCCAGCAGCTCCTCATCCACCGGCGCCATCTGTTGGTTTGGAATGACGCCTCGTATTGTGGTTTAAAATTAACACTTGCCTTTGGAAGTGCTTCAGAAAATAATGTGCTATGAAAACACAGCACTTTTACAGTGTCCATCCGCTCATAAGCACATCGCGCAACAAAACACAGTCAAAGATTGCTTTAATTTAAAAAGGCAAACTGAAACTGATATAAAAATACAAAACAAAGAGCATGAACATAAATTCTACACATTTTTCCATTTATTCAAACACTTCAGTGTCTCTTTTAGACATGATACCACTTGTACATGTTTTAATATTCAAGTCTTTGGTCCCTGCCTTGGCACACTTTACACAACAGGTGCTCATTGAATATCTAGAGATGAGACATCCGCTGTCTCCAGTTTTGGCCTCCCTGACAGTGATCACACTGTTCCCTTTCATAGCCATCCACCTCCTGCTCTGCTTTTCTTGGTGGCTTTGCAGGAAACTGCTGGACACACTGAAGAACTACCCAGTGATTTCCATTGTTGTGGATCATACTGTTCACATGAGATCACTTTACTGTACTGTCAGAGGAGCTGTCTTGTGTGATGCCTATTTTGAGTTCTTCTTAAAAAGTAAAAGGCACTTTGATAAGATAAATCCTGTAAAAAAAGATTTTTTTCCTATAAAAATATTTACATTTGTAAAAATATTACCGTAACCCAAGATCAAATGAACAGAATAACATTTCTCTTATGGTGCATATTCAAGATTGGGACGACAGATAAGCCGCATGTTGAAATGGTCCATAATTTTTTGAGATGTCCAGACAGAGATGAACTGAGAGATGAACACTCCCATCCTTGTGGCGTAGACAACTGGCACATGCTTATTTTGACTTTGGTCTCTTTCTGTTGCTGGTTGGGGAGCTTGCATTGTCCACAGGCTAGAGGTAAAGTAAGAAAAGCTAATTTTATTCAAGTTATTTTTACCATTTTATTCCTAAAAACGCACACATTTTGATTTATATTTGCAACACTGTTTTCTGAGCTCACCTGCACTCGCTTTCTGGTAACCCTAAAGAAGTCCTTAATGCAAGTCTGCTTCCCACCACCCTCTGCCTTTTCCTTTTCCCTCTCCTCCCGTTTATTTTCCCGCATCATACGGAACTTCACCATTCGATTACGGATCCTCTCCTCCCTAAAATCAAACAAAGATGACTTTCAATTTTCATATGTATAGTTTCATTCATTCTATATATGCATACACATACATATATATACACACACACTATAAGAAGAACAATAGAAAAGCTCAATAAAAAACGTACTTAATTCGTTTGGTGTGACAGAGGAACTCAACCAAGGCCTCCTCATTTGGCTCGGTCCAGATGAGCTCGGGAGCTGAGCTTTGTGGTCCATCCAAGAAAATCTTCCTTGCTTCTCTGTATTTCCACATATTTGGAACAGGATGGGTCTAAAGGCCAGATATCACTGGCTTGTTAGACGTCACATGTTCTTTTGTAAGAGAGGTAAAGCCAAAGCTACAAAGACCATCTGATACCTTTCTGTTGATATGCAAAACCACATCCTCTATGGTATGGTGCTTCTGGATCAGGGTCAGAGCTCTCTTAGGACCCAAACCGGGTATCTTTTCACAGTAGTCGCAGCCGAGCAAAATACACAAGTCAACAAACTGGCAGACAAATACAAAATAAGAGAATAAGACAGCTAAAGTTCATTTCTATAGCAGTATGTCCAATACAGATATATTATAATAAATTACATACTTTCAGAGAAATCTAAATGTTTCAATCTTACCTCCTTATGACCAATTTGGAGTTTTTCTAATAGTTTAGGTAAGGAGTATTCAATGACTTTACTGTAAAAAAAAAAAAAAAAAAGAGCGTAAATAAAACATTAAGTTCAACTAGATCAACTAGTTCACAACTAGATGTCACAATCTAAAACCAAAACAAAGACGAGCAGAAATAATACATTAAGAATAAGTAACCAAACAAAAGACATGAAAATGAATGTTTCATATACAATGATAACGTCTCTTATATTTTTTACCCCTATATTTTTAAACATTTTAGCGAAATACACAACTATTCCATACATGTAACATATATAGATTTTTAAAAAATAATAATATTTGCTTTTATCAAACATGCCATTTGTTCTCAGTTGATACTGTATCTCTCTGAGTACAGTTTAAAAGTAGATTATTTTGTGCTTTGTATGTTATCAGCAAAGTGAGTGATCAACGATATCAGAAAACCTTAAGACGTGTAGTAGTTCATCCATTTATAAAGCTTTCAGCTTTCTTGTGTAGCAAATTCAGTGGATTAATGTTTGTTATCTCCGCCAAGGTCATGTTTTTGGTAGCATTTGCGTGCGCGATATTCTGTCTGTAAAAACGATAACTCGAAATGTCTTGAATGAATAAAACTATGTAGGGGTGTAGAGTGGAGTCATTTCAACAATCCATTATCCACTGGCTACTCCTACATAATGTTTTATGTATCTACACCAGCTGTTTTTAACCAGTCTTTTGCTGCAGCAGTGCTAATTTTTCTAAAAGATTTTGCTAGCATGAAGTTTCAACATTATATATTTACCCATTTTGAAATTAATATCATACTTATAAGAATTCCAAATGTTTTCTTTCTATTTTTATTTATATTTTACACCACATCTCAACTTGGCTTAGAAACTGAGTGTAAACTACCTGCTAATGAGCTGCGAGCAGCCCTTTTCTGTCTGACAGTCCACTGCTGTCTGCAAGAAAAAGTAAGGAGCAGATTTCCTTTACTTTTCTTGTGAGACTTGTGGCTGTGGTTTAAAATAGTTCACCACCTGCTGCCAGAAAGTACAGTCATTATGGAGCTCCGTCTCATCTACTATAAATACAGAAAATTAGTGCAAGTGAGCAGGTTATTACAATAACTTGAGATTCTAATCATTTGACATAATAATTTACGTAAAAACACGTATGAGAGCCTCATAAAGCTTTGGATCTGATCATGAACACTAAATTAATGCAACAACCATTGCAAACCTTTGAAATATTTCTTATTTTTAAATATAAACAAATTTAGTAAAGTGAGCTGCACAGTTTCTACCTGTCCTTCTTTGCATTCAGCTGACGAATAAGAATATTGGCTCCAAACGGCAGCGTGTCCATGTCCTCTGAGGCCACAGCGTGCACAGTTCCCTCTCTCACCAGCTGAGCGCACAGTGCCTCAGCGTCCCCTGGAGCCTGAGAGACAAAAGTGACATGCATGAAGAGAAATCTGCAGAGGAGGAAGAAGAGATGAAATATTGCACAAACATTTTCATTACTTAGCAGGTCGTACCTGGATAACAGGTACACCAAGATACTTCAGGAGCTGAAGACATTCTTTAGTCTGTAATGACGCTGCAGTGAGCACAGAGGAAAAACACATCAAAATAATATTCCCAGTAGATCACCCCTGTTCTACAACCACTGAAAACTCAAGTCTTTGTGCATTTTCTGCACAGACCTACCTGTGCCCGTCCAGTTTGAGTAATTCCTACCTGCTGTCTGGGCTCGCTTCTCAAGCTGCAGAAACAACAATTTTCAATCAGTCACAGCCGTCTGTATCTCTGTTATCTGGCAGTGATCAAATTTACCTACACGTTGAAAATATTTACTGTAGACTAGTCTCTCTGACCTAAAGTGTTCTTAAACATGCCAGGAAATGTTTAGTATCATGTTAAGTCAAAAACTATACATGCAGGTTTGTGTCTTACAACAGCCTTCTTTTCTCCAGGAGGCTTTCCATCAAACACAAAGACCGGTTTTATGCCATGTTCCAGGAAAGTGAGTGTGCGAAAGAAGAGACCTGTGAGGGGGCTGAAGAAGAGAAATCAAGAGCATTTCACAAATATACACAGACAAATAAGAATAGAAAGACTTTTTCCTGCACAGCTACCTCGAGGGTTTATAGAGAATGGTCTGAAAAAGAGAAAATATCCAAAAAGCAGTAGCTCTCTGGGTGAAAACGCCTTATTTATGCCAGAGGCCAGAGAAGGATGGCCAGACTGCTTCCCATAGGAAAGCAACATTAACTCAAATAATCATTTGTTAAAACCAAGGTATGCAGAAGAACATATCTGAGCATGACACGCTGAACCTTAAAGAAGATAGGCAGAAGACCACACAAGGTGCCGCTCCTGTCAGCAAGCCTCTGAGGAATGTTTCTAGCCCCTTCTTTAATCTATGCAACAAAGAATTAAGGTTTTTCTGAAGATAAACATGGGTTCAACCCAATACTGGCAAGGTGTACCTAACAATGTGACCAGTGAGTGTATTTTACTGGTGTCAGTGAGGTCTTGTTTACACTAATTGGCTGTATAGTTGCAGGATGTGGTGATTTTTGTAAGCCCTTTCTAATATTTTTAATCTCATGCACTGATAACACAGTGCAACCTTTAAAAGAACAAATTAAGTGAAATGAATGAAAGAAAAAAAATTAAAATCTTTAGAAATGTTATTGCAGGATTATTTTAATTCAAATGTCTACTATTCTACAAGTGTTTGTATTTTTCTAGGCACCCAGTGTACCAGGTTTGATATAAGGAATTAATACACCATGATAAACAGTAAAGAGATAGAAAAAATAACGTTTACTTCAGTTTAACAGAACAGAACAGCATCACATCATGCTTACCTCAGTGTAGGCGTTGCTGCACGGAACTGATTTACAACAATAGAGGTATCGAGTGCGATTACTTTTCCTGTGGAGTATAGTAATACAACAGCAGCGTGAATACACAACAGTTTAAATTTGCCCTTAGACATTAATTACTTTTCAGTAACATCCACTCAAATTACACTTGATTAAATTCACCTAAACGCACTTGAAATGATCTACACTATTAAGCCAAGTCAAATACTGTACTCCGTTTACTTGTCAGGAATTTGTGCAGCGCTGATTTGTACTGTATAAATTGCTTGTAGGATTAGCTTTGCCTATTCTTTTATGGCTTTTCTCAGCAGTA